CAAGAAAAATACAGAAGCCAGTGGTGGACTTGAGATCTGTAGGGTGTCCAAATCTTTCATTGCAAAACAATGTGCTAACTTAGAGTTTAAAGATGTAATTCTGTCAACATCATCACCAGTAATAATCATATCATCAACATATAAAGAGAGCAGAATATGACCTACACCAGTACATTTCACAAATAATGTCGAATCATGATGACTTGGATGAAAACCAAGCGAAGTAATCACAGTAGAGAACTTCTCAAATCAGGCTCGGGGTGCTTGTTTGAGACCATAAAGAGCTTTACGGAGCCTGTAAACTTCACCAGGTTGGTGAGAAACACCAGGAGGAGGCTCCATGTAAACTTCTTCATGAATATCACCATCGACATCCATCTAAGATATGTGCCATCAACAAATAGAAGCAACAACAATGAGCGAACAAATAGTAGTCATTTTTGCAATAGGGGCGAAAGTCTCCTAATAATCCATGCCATACTCTTGAGAGTAATCTTTTGCAAAAAGTCGGGCTTTGTATCTTTCAATAGATCCATCGGACTTAGTTTTGATTTTGTAAACCCAACGAGAACTAATGGCGCGTTTTCCTGGTAGTAAAGATACCAAGTCCCAAGTACGAGTCTCATGCAGAGTAGCAAGTTCCTCAGCTATAGCATCCTGCTAAAGTGGGTCACAAATAGCCTCTTTCTAGAACAAGGGCTAAAAAAGACGATGAATAGAAACTAAAAATGAAGCAAAAGAGCTAGAATAACAAGAGTAAGAAAATTTTGGTAGCTTAGTAGACTTACAAACACGTGTAGACAAGTGAATATGATGAGGAACCACAGTCTCAGGAGATGATTGGGCAGTTGCAGGAGGATGAACAGGTTATCAGGAACCAAAGTACCGAATCTACTGAGCTATCAGTGGGAAACCTGGAAGATGCATTATCTAAAACTGGAGTAACGGGTGGTGCTTCCTTAGTGTCAATAGTGAAGGGATCAATGCAAGTAAGATCTGACTTAGTCATATTATGAGGACTAGCAGGAATAGAAAAGAATGGAATATGCTCAAGAATCACAACAGGACGAGAGATATAATTTTTGGCTGACTAGATCAAAACAACGATATCCTTTTTGACCTACGTCATATCCCAGAAAGACACACAAAGCAAACCGGGTGGATAATTTATTACGCTCAACATGAGGTCAGAGGACAAAACAGGTAGAACCAAAAACACGTAAGGAAGAATAATCAAGAGCATATCCATACAACTTTTCAAAGGGTGACATACCTAAATTGTGTGAGATTAGAATCCTATTAATCAAATGAGCAGTAGTTAGAATTACTTCTCTCCAAAATGCACTAGGAACATCGGCAGACAATAAAAGAGAACGGGTTGTTTCAACAAGATGTCTATGTTTCCTTTTTACAACATCATTCTGTTCGGAGGTATCTATATAAGAAGTTTGATGAAGAGTACTATCGGAAGCAAACAAATTAGAAAAATCATTAAAAGTGTTTTCTCCTCCCAAATCACAACGAAAACACTTTATGACAACTGAATGTTGAGGTTTTACAAGAGTTCTGAAGTTATTAAAAATAGTAAGATAATCGGAGCGACTTTCATAAGATAAACCCAAGAATAACGAATGCAATCATCAATAAACGAAACATAATATCGCAACCCCCCTTTTGTGGTTATAGGGGAAGGTCCCCACACATCGGAATGAACAAAATCAAATGGAGAAAGAGAAAAAGAAAGATTTCTATAAAATGGTAAGGCATAAAATTTTGCCAGCTTGCAACCACTACAATCAGAAATATCATGAGTTTTTAAATTTTCTAATGCTCCAGTAGAAGCTAAAAACTGTAAACGAGATGCTGAGACATAACCAAAACGAGAATGTTATAAATAAAAATCAAAAGACGAATGACTCAAACGAAAAAATGACAAATCTACATTAGAAGTTGCAACTTTCGGTACTTTGAGCTTATCCAAAACATAGAGTCCCCCTTGCCTACACCCTATCCCAATCAACTTTTGAGAATGCGGGTCCTGCACATAACAAGTGGAAGAAGAAAAAGAGACTAAGTATCCTGACTCATATAATTGACTAAAGAAACGAGATTCAAAGTAAGACTTGAAATGTAATAAATATCCAAAAGAGACAAACAAGATGTAACAATTGAACCAACGCCTATTAATGGCATAGGAGTGCCATCAGCATTCACAATTGACACAGGCGAATTGAGAGAAAAAGAAGCAAATGATGACAGATTATGTGACATATGATGAGAGGAAGCACACATGTCATGTGGCTGTGAGGCAAAAAACTTTTGAAACTTCTCAAACATATACGGATCTAGTGATAGTGCAGCCACTGCATTATTAGGTTGGGGTATTTGATTACTAAATTTCTATAGAGGAATCTGAGATGGTTGTGGTGGCTACTGAGGTTGTCGTTGTTGTTGCTGCTACTAGGGTTGCAATGATTTAACTTTATTTAACAATAACGGGCACTGAGCTTTCTAGTGGCCTTCTTTCTTACAGAAAGCGCATTCATCCGAATTCAACCTGTTTTGATTATTATTCAGGGATCTTTGAGGTACTATAAAAACAGATGGAGTAGACGTTGGGACTGTTCCCTTGTTTGCCTAAGACTTAAGACATATCTCCTCAACTAAAAGTTCATTGACCATTGAATCAACAAAAGGGAGTGGATGACGATGCAAAATTGTCCCACACAATCCCTCAAAATCATGACGAAGGGCCATTAGAAATTGTACCAGTCGCTGCTTGTCTCTACGAGCGATGTAAGGTGCGAATGCTCGTAATTCGGTGGACTCTGTAAGTGCTAACTGGTCCCATAATTCTCACATGGCAGAATAAAATTCTTGAATACTCAAATCCTTTTGTTGAAGAGCATGAATATCAGTCTCCAACTGATGCTGTCTTGCAAAGTTAGATTGCGTGTATAGTCTTGCCAGATGATCCCAAACCTTTTTGGCAGTCTTATACTTTGTCAACTGAGCACCTAAATAGTGCGTAATAGAATTATTTATCCAAGTGATAATCTTCGAATTATCAGCCTCCCAAACATCCAACGATTTTGCATAGTCAGAAGTCTTGTTTGTAGGTTTAATTTTTGTACCCGTAACATAACCTCACATAGATTTTCCCCTTAAAAAATTCTTCATAACTCAACTTCAATACAAATAATTTTTTCCATCTAATTGCAGACTAATCGACTACAGAGGAATCTTTACAACTAGCCATGATGAGGAAAAAGTAAAGCAGACTGACAAATAATCACCAAACAATAAACGAAATCAAACTGAGATGCGAAATCAAATCAGAATCCAGGTAAGAAGTGCGAAAGTAAGCGAACAGCAGCGAAATAGATGCAAAAAAATAAACGAAAATAATTGTACAGACGCACCAAAAAAATTAGGTCGGGGCTCTGAAAGATGTGGCTACAAATAATCTTTCTTCACTAAGATGAACAAAATCGATGAAGCAATAGTGGATGTGATACCATGAAGAAATTAAGAAAATTAGGATTTCTTATTCCAATAAAAGTGAGTGATAAAATCACACAATAAATGTGTTTACATAGACTTAATAGAAAATATAGAAAATAGGAAACCTACCAATAATAGGAAACATATAAGAATAGGAAACAAGTAAATAAATAATAAAATAATAATCTAACAAAGACTGCCAAACTAAAACCCAAAAAAAATAATTCAATATTATTCAAATAATGTCTAATACTTTTAGCAAACTTATAATGCATTCACATACGTCAAATCAAGAGAATGCATTTTAAATTTGATAATCATGCAAGCAAATCACTGGCATGACTTTAGATTGTTGAGAAAAATAAGTGATTTATGTGTAAATATTTATCAATTAACATAATAAAATAACAAATACAATTCAACAATAATATAACATAAAGTTAAGATGAGATTTAGAGAACAAGTCTTAGGGAGTTACTCTAAAGATGATATCCTAAAATCGTGTTGCTTCCCCTTTGTGCGGGTACTATCGGCATTACACAATTATCCTTTTATGGGCACGATCACAGGAAGATAAGGAATGAGCCCTTTATCGAATTGCCAAAAACTATGAAAATATAGTATGAAAATGTATATAGGAGAATAATTCTTTAACTTGTATTTTCAAGTTGTATATCAAGATGTAGTTTTTTTCCAGTCAAATAAACAATGAAATTTCATGTCCCTTTTATTTTGTAGTGTAAAAGTTCAACCACCCACCTTAATAAAAATTAATTCATTAAAAAAATGTTACATCTAATATAATGATATTTTGATTTTATATTAAATCTGAAATTGAAAACAAACCTGAAAATTAAAATGTATTAATTTTGAAATTTAAAACTTATTAATATTTATATTACAACACAAGGTTCTCCTGCCACGTCAACAAGTGGGCAATCTTGGATTTTCTTTGATCCTCTGTTAGTTCATATATATTATTGGAGGGACATGATTGAACTTAGATATATTTCTTATAAGCCTTACCAATGTTTTTACTAGACCCCCTGTTTGAGTCACATTAAAATTTTTATTTTCATTCTTTTAGTTATTTTCAACCACACATTTTTTAATAAAATAATATATTTCATCACATCAACAGCATTTCCTTTTTTTTCAACCACACATTTTCCATTAATTTACTATTCCAAAATACAATTTTTCAAAATAATGTGACTTAAACACACCCTAGATAACACAAATATTTTGATTGGTTGGTTGGTTGACAAGCTATTTTATTATAGAACTTTTAGCAAATTTTGATAAAGTCGATGAAATATGTAGTTGAAAAGTTGATAAAAATTGTGAGCTTCACAAAATGTTTGGTTAAAATTGAAGTTTTACTAATTGAAAAGTTGATAATTCTCTAAGTATCTATCATGAATAAATATTGCAAATAATTTTTTTCTTTCGAAGCTGAGAGAGTCAAGTTACTAACACTTACTCATGATTCTTTTGTGTTCAGCTCTCGTTCTTCGGGTTCAATGGTTCAATGAGATATGATCAAAGTTACTAGAAGGTGCCAGGAGTTGAAAGCATGAGCTCAAACTAGTGTTCGAAAATGCGATTTAATGCGCCGTTTAAGTGCGCTCATGCGTGAAGCGTCGCCAAAACGCTTCGCATTTGGGGTGTGCGTGCAATAATGCGGTCAACGCCTCCGTTGACCACCCAAACGCACATTTTTTCGTTTTTTTTTATTTTACCATTAAATATAAATTATAAACTTAAAAATCTTCCAACCCATCCAGAGACAGGCCCAGGAAGCATATTAAAATGTAAGTTTGGTTGGCCCATTTATTTATAGGCAAAGTTTCTTGTGCTTCTTCTATAGGATTCCGATGTGGGACTTTGGCTATGTTCATGTGCAAGCATTGAAACAGACGGCATCCTCATTTTCCCCCCTTCTGTTTTTCTTCTTGAGTTTCCACCCTCCCATTCTTCATCTTCCCCACAGCATCCTCATTTTCCACTTGCGATTGGCTCGGCAGCAATGGGGCTGGCGGGGGCACATTTACACTACGGGCTTTTGGTACTTGGTAGTGGTAGCGGTTTTCCATTGATGGAGAACCTTCTCGCCTCTCTCTCTCTCCTCTCCAAGGACTCAAGATCAGAAGAACAGACTTTGTTTCCCTAGTTCCTGTACATGCAAATTTTCACCAGCAAAGTTCCTACAGCAGCCGTTGTTGTTGTGTTGGGTAGGATAATCGTCTCTTACCCGCGAGACTTGGGTTTGTGTCCAGGCACCGGAATTCCAGTTCACCTTGCTGGTTTTGAATATTGAAGGAGAAGCTTATGTGGGACTTGGGAGGCAGGGCTTTGACTACCTTTATGAGGTTATTTTCAGAGTTCGAATTGATTTGCCAACAATTGATTAGTTCGAATCTATCATTTTAATTTCAGTTTATTCCCTGTGTTTTCTACTGGTTTCACTTCAATTCAGTTTCTGATTTTAATTTTAATTTCGTTATCCTGCTGCTATCAATTTCTGCTACTGGAATGCTTGCTGGATTTCTGATCTGTTGCAAACTGAAATGGAAGTTTTATTTAAAACAAGTTAGTTGTTGATGAAATCAAAAGTCTAATTAAAACTTCTTACTTTTTTCTTTGATTTATGGGCTGAATTATGAATGAAATATGTTGCATATAATGTGAGATACGGAATGCATAGTAGGTGTTTGAGAAAATGCTCTGAAGATTTTTCCATATTCAGCATTTCTATTTTCCAATCACAGTATTCCTCATGAAATAGGTTGGCCCATAATGTGCTATATTTTGGGTTTGTGTCTATCTGTTACTTTACTAATAATCTATTTGAGTCCATTGCAAAGTTGTTGATTTTAGTAAAAAATTTATTTTTTTATATAAAAATATATTTAATGTCTTAAAAATAATTAAATAATATTAAAAATACGAAACGCATTATGGCACTTATTTTTCGCATTGACACGCCTAAACTTGTGATTCTTGATTCTTGACCTCGACGCATCGCAACGCATTACGCATTTTAGAATATTGGCTCAAACTGGTTTAGAACTAATTAAGTGTCTGTTTGTCAACCATNAAATATATAAATGGTTTATAAATAATAATAACAGGAGATCCTATGAAATATGTAGATAATAATTTCTAGTTATGTGAATGCTCGAGCCTCAAAATGGTTTGTTTCCTCTATGTTCAATACAGCCACACGACTCGCTTTAATTCGGAGTTGTTAATTTTGTGTTTGCTTTTCTGATTAATTTTCTGGTATCATACTGGTAATTCATGTATTTTAATGGAATTCAAAAAAAAAAAAAAAAA